ATTCAAAAAAGTATATATATAATTAAAAAAAAAAAAGAAAATGCAGAGCCAGAAAAATGGAGAAACTTAATGCAGTGGTTGTAAGCTGGGATTGAAACAGTTCTGTTGGAATCTGTTGTGAGGTGAGTTACTACTAATAGCTCAAGTACTAAAGATTGTAAATGACATGCTGAAAAAAATGACAGGTTTGCCAATAATAATTTCTCTTTACCACTTATTCAAGTAAGAGAAAGGTGTAACGTTTGTTTTTTTAAACCCCATAGCTTTTTTTTAAAAAAAAAACATTTTATTGTGGTATAATTGACATACAAAAAGCTGTAAATAATTAATATTTTCAACTTGATGACTTTGGAGATAAGCATACACCGTGAAACCATCACCACAATCTGTGCCATTAGCATATCCATCACCTCCAAAAGTTTCTTCCTGCCCCCTCTATCATTATTTGTGTGATGATAAAAACACTTCAGTGCTTTTAAGATTTGTCCTCTCAGCAAATTTTTAAGTATACAGTAAAGTATGGTTAACTATGAGAACTATGCTGTACAGTAAATCCACAGCACTTACTTATTTTGTATAACTAAAACTTTGTGCCTTTTGACTAATACTTTCCCATTTTCCCCTCCCTCGGGCCTCTGACAACCACCATTCTATTCTTTGCTTCTATGAGTTTGACAGCTTTTGATTCCTGATATAAGTGGTATCATGTAGTATTTGTCTGTCTGTGTCTGGCTTATTTCACTTAACATAATGTCCTTCAGGTTCATTCATGTAGTTACAAATGGCAGAATTTCCTTCTTTTTAAAAGTTGAATAACAATCTATTGTTTGTGTATAACACATTTTCTTTATCCAGTCATCCACAGATGAACATTTAGATTGCTTCCATGTCTTGGATACTGTGAATAATGCTGCAGTGGGCTCAGTTACCAGGTGATCTTACCATTCTATATTCCCACAAATGATGCTTGAGAGTTCCAGTTGTTCCACATCCTCACTAGCACTTGTTATGATCACTTTTTAACTATTCCATTAGGTGTGTAATTGTATCATATTGTGGTTTTAACTTGCTTTTCCCTGATGATGTTGAACATACTTTCATGTGCTTATTTGCTATCTTTGCTATCTACATATCTTTTTTTTTTAATATACCATTTTAAACAATTTATTTATTTATTTATATTTGGCTGCATTGGGTCTTCATTGCTGCATGCAGGCTATCTCTAGTTGCGGTGAGCAGGGGCTACTCTTTGTTGTGGTATGTGGGCTTCTCATTGCAGTGGCTCCTCTTGTTGTGGAGCACAGGCTCTAGGCGTGTGAGCTTCAGTAGCTGTGGCATGCAGGCTCCGTAGTTGTCACAGGCTCTAGAGTGCAGGCTCAGTAGTTGTGGTGCACAGACTTAGTTGCTCCGCGGTATGTGGGATCTTCCTGGACCAGAGCTTGAACCCTTGTCCCCTGCGTTGGCAGGCAGATTCTTAACCATTGCACCACCAGGGAAGTCCCACATATCTTTTTAAGTGTATTTTCTGTCTGGATCTTTTGGCCACTTATTTTATTGGGTTCTTTTTATCCTTATTGAGTTTGGAGAGTTCTTTACATATTCTAGATAAAAGTCCTTTATAAAATATGTTAGTTGCAAAATTTTCTTCTACATGTAGAGCTTATCTTTTTACTATCTTAACAGTGCATTTTGAAGAGAAGTTTTAATGTTGATTCAGTCCAGTTTATCAGTGCATTTTTATATGGATTCTGCATTTGTTCTGATATCCAAGAAATCTTTGCCTAACCCTAGGTCACAACGTCTTTGTCCTATCTTTTATTCTATAAGTTTTACAGCTTTGTGCTTTACATTTAGGTGTATAATACATTTTAAGTTTTTTTTTTTGTATTTGGTGTGAGATGTGGGTCAAAGTTAATTTTTTATATGAGTATCCAATTGTTTCAGCACAAATTTTGAAAAGGCTACCTTTCCTCCACTGAATTATCTTTACAACTGTGTTGAAAATCAGTTGTCCATATATGCATGGGCCTATTCCTCAATTCTATTCTGAATGCTAAACATCCATGAGTTTAGTTGTAATCTAGAAATGTATGATTATAATTTTTGAAAGTGCAAAATGATAGAAATGTCAGTCATCAGGCATGTTAGATAAGGAGAATATTACTTTTGAGGTAATTTCCTTTTTTCAAAGAACATGGGTGTTATAGACTGAATTGTGTCTCCATATATTGAAACTCTAATCCCCAATATAATGATGTTTGGAGATAAAGTCTTTAGGGAGTCAATTAAGGTGAAACAAGGTCATAAGGGTGAAGCCCTAATACAATAGGATTGGCATCCTTATAAGAAGAGGGAAAGACATCAGAGAAGGCTCTTCCAGCTATGCACATTGGAAAGGCCATGTGAGGACACAGCAAGAAGGCTGTTTCTGCAAGCCAGGAAGAGAACTCTCAGGAGAAACAACCATGATAGCACCTTGATCTTGGACTTCTGGCCTCCAGAACTGTATGAAAATAAACTTCTGTTGTTTGAGTCACCCATTCTGTGGTACTTTGTTGTAGCCTGAGTAGACAAGTACAGTGGGATTTGAGAAAGTCTTAAGAAGTTTGAATTTGGAAAACTTGAATCCCTATTGTATATGCTTGCGAATCCTTACTTCCACTAAATGTAACACTGCAATAAAGAGGAAAAAGATCTTGTACCAGTTGCTTTTAATGATAGTAGTTTTGTTGTTTCATATCTCTGACAGCATTTAAATGATCCAGGACCAGCCCTTCAGGAATAAAAGGGGCAGGTGCTGCTTTCTAGAGAAACTTGTAGCCTGATGAACACAAATGCATTATTATTCCTAGAGGACATGTGTATAGCTTAATGAAAGCAGATTAGTTAGTAGAATCACTTCTGTAAAGAATCAAAATGATTTTTGAGGTTGTAACATCAAAAGACAGAGATGGATTGATATTTAAGTGATATATCAGGTACAATGAAAAACTACAAGTCACTTTAAAAATGAATATCTAAAGTTGCTGAGAGCTTATCATGTAAAAGAGTAGACAGTACATAAGAAATTTCAAATTAAAGTAGAATATTGTAAATAATGTAAGAATGAACTGCTGATGAGAAAAATTAACTTCTGTTGGGGGCTATGAAGACCATAGTTAAAAAAGGATGTATAGAATGTGAATCTGTCTTGAAAAGTAGCACTTGAGAAAGCCGATCTGGCAGAGGGAGCATCATAAGCAAAAGAGAGAGCTTCTGCTAAGAAAAGGTAGAAAACAAACGCTGAGCCTGAAGAGACTGTGCTGGCTAGAGAAATGAGATGTTGGAGAACAAGAGGAGTGGTCAAGAGAAAACATTACAGAGACTTTAAGAGTTATAGACAAACTTCATATTAATACATTTTTGAAGCATTATGGAATCATACTAACACCTTTCTCCTAAATTAGAAGACACATTTTCCATAAAGCTCTACATTTATCTTTAAAACAACCTTTCCTGAGTATTTATGTATGAAGTGCCTACTAGCCACCTGGGGTGAAAAACCCCTGCACTCCAGGAGATCAGTTTTAATGAGGAGAAGTAGCTGAATAAGGAGACAATTAAAATTCAGCGTATGATTTATGAATGCAAAAACTACCTTTATGCAACGCTAGTGAAACAGGAAGTCACGCATTAATCCAATTCTGCCCAAATCACACACTGAAGAATACCAATCCAAACACAAGACTGAGTTATTGTAAATCGAGTACAGAATCAGGAGTCAAGAGCATTGGCCTTGCACAGGACTGTCTTCCTGGACAGAAGCTCAGAAGTGGGCCTGGCTTAAATTTACTTTCCACACAGTCTTGAAATACTTAATAAGGTTATCTGTGAATTTGAGTTTTGTAAGTGAAATCCAGTGGGACAATGAAACATATGTCAACGGCTTAGTCTCAGGTCAAGTGTGGTCTTACCTGCTACATACTTCCATTTGGGTTCTCTGGCTTCCTACTTCCCTGTCTCTGCCCAGCAACTACTGCCATCTTGGTCCAGTACAGGCACTCCTCCCTGAGTCCTCAAGCATGGGTCCCAGGCACCTGTGAAGATGTGCACTAGCCCCATGGCATCCCTGTGCTTGAGGGAGCATCACACTAAATACCAAATAGAAAGCACATGACAGGTCAAAAGACACCACGGAAGAAAAGAAGAAACTTTTTCCTACTTTTTGAATGGGGGGGGGGGTCCTGCATTTTCATTTTGCACTGGGCCCCTTAGATTATGTAACCAGCCCTGGAATCCTGTAGCAGTGGTCGGCTCCAGCTGGACAACTCTTGACAAGACACTTGGCCCCTCGAAAGTTAGTTTCCAAACCTGTAAAATAAGAATAATATTTCCTATCTCATTGGATTTGACTATTTTGGAGATAATTCACGCAAAGTGTTTGTCCCAGCACTTGACCCATTTTAAAGCTCTATACTACCAGGTGTTAACTATTAATATGTTATTTAACTCCGACTCAGTCCCTCATGTGTCCTCTACACGCAGCCTAATACTTCAAAACAGCCAATCTCACAGGCAGCATGAAATGTGCATCCTGGTTCTGTTTTATAAGCTCATTAGACCTTCTTACAGTGTGCAGAAAAATATGTCCATGCTTGAGCTATAAAGTGAGGCTGGTAAAAAAGCTGAATCTAACAGATGTGTTTGTTAGAAGCGCAAAAATCTTCACAAACGCTAGATAAAAATTCGGAGCAAAATTGGTCGCTCAAGTGATCATTTCATAAAGGCTTTCACTCCCATTGAGACACGAAAAACAAGGTCCTTACACAGCTGGACCCACTCTGCGAACGAATATAAGAAAATTAGCAACTTGAAAAACTTCTAAACAAGGCAACGGCTTCTGGAGCGCCCTCTTTGCCACCGGCCCCTACCTAGTTTCCATAGGAACGCGCAAATCAGCCGGGGTGCACTCCACGCAGGAAGTTGTTATTCGTCACTTCCGTCCTTCACCTCAGAGTCAGTATACCTTTTACTCGCACTTCGGCTGAAGCAGTCGGCGGATGAATTTTGGGCCAACGAGGCCGCCGTTGGAGGGGCGTGGCAACGCACCCGCGTTCCGGCTGATGCAGTTCACGTGCGGGCAGCCGGGGAACTTATTAGAGCTACCATGGACCAGCCGGGGACTTTGAACCTCAATAACGAGGTGAGCACCGAGGTCTAGAAACCTGTGGGACTGATCTTTAGGGTCCTCAGGACAGCTTTGCTGCGTCATTTTGAGGGGCTTGGGCGAGGCGGGAGTCAGGCGAGTTTTCTGGAGCTCAGAGACTGACAACCGTAACTCCCCACCCCCACTCTCCTACCCCCTGGTTTCTAGGTGAAGTGTCTCTGGCCCTCAGTCCTCGTGAGTTTTTATTTGTGGTACTTTGGGAAGAATATTTAATCTCTTTATTCAGTGTCTATCTGTAAAACGAAGCTCATGATAGTACCTTCCCCAACAAGGCTGGAGTGAGAAATTAACTGGAGTATGTAGTGTTTGCACAGTGCCTGACAGTAAACTCTCAGTATATATTTCCTGCCTTTTGTTGACTGCAGAAAATGAAGGAGAGATTGAGAGCTGTAGCTTTTCCTAAGAAATTGTTCATCTTGAATGAGACCGTATCATTTATAAGGATGTACGCTCGCTCAGTACCTCATTTCTTCTTTCCGCTACTGTCCTATTTCTGTGCTTCCATTTACAGCAGAACTTTAATACTTGCTGTCCACAAGTTTTCATCTCTCCTTTTCTCTTAAATCCAGTCTCATCAGACGTTTGCCCTCATCACCTCCACCATTACATGTCACCAGGTTACCATTTCTGTCATTTTCCCCTTTCTAGTTTCTGCTTCTATTCAAGGAAGTCATAGTCATCAAAGACTTAAAGTAAGCTGGAAAAGCAGGAATCAAATGAGGACCTCACAACTACAGCAAAGGAAATTATTCGCCGTTTTTGTTCAGTGGATATATGAGTCTGCTGTGAGCAAGCCACTGTTCATATTACACAGTTCTGTAAGCAACCTGTTCTGAGGTAGGAAAGGTTAAGCACCATTCATCAATGATACAGGACAATGCTCACAGAAAAAAGTTACGTAGTGCAGAAAAGTTTCCAAAGAGGGCAAGATGAAATGAGTGATAACTTGTTCTTGGTCTTTAAGGGTCCTACACAGGATTGCATTCAGGATTTCAATGATGGAGAAAGAAGGTGTTCTAACCAGAGGAACCAGTATAAGCGAGGAAAGAATGGGAGTGGGAATCCCCTTGGATTGTATAGTAGTAGATAACTCTCTACTGATGAGAACTTGTGGGATAAAGTAGGAAATAAAGCTGAAATGTATTATTGCCTTACTACCAGGTTAGTAAGTCTGGGTTTTGCTTGACAGTGGAGAACAGGGTATACCGAAGAGGAGAACTCTTGAAGGTGTTTATATTGATAAACATATGTTAAGTTTGTGCTAGTTACAGAAAGCATTTGGTGGTCTATTTTTCCATTAGATTCCGTAGGAGGTATAAAAGATCTTAATCAGAGTGATGTCCTTGGAAATTCACTGGAAATACTAGTGAACTTCCTGTTCAATTTCGAAATTACTGTGAAAGGAGTGGGGACAGTCATTTACCCCACTCTTCACTTAAGGCTCTTTCTTTTTCCACTTAGTTTCCAGGCCTCTTCAAAACAGTTAAAATTTGGCCTTTAGGAAGTCTTCACTAATTCACCGCAGTCTGGGCTAGGTGTCTATTCTTTATGCAACCAGGATGCTTTCTACTCTGAAAACACTTGTTTACCTGTTTCTCTCTTTTGGTGTGTATGTCTGTCACCTGCAACATATGTGGTCTGTAACTGTTTGCTGGATGATTGAATGAACTTATCCAATTAGGAAGTTTGTACATCCCACACTGAAGTAAACCTTACATGTTCTAATATGAAGGTAGGAAAAAAAAGGATAGAAGAAAGTGGAGATGGTGGAAGAAAAGTGTTATAATTTAAAATTAACGGGAGAAACACTACTAAGGGAAAAACAGTTGTTTACATAAAAATTGAAAAACAAAGGGGGAAAAATGGGACAACCAATTAGAAAAAAATACAGCAAATATGACAGAGAAATGGCTAATGTATTACTATAAAATAGCTCATGGAACTTAAGAAAAGTCATCTCATAGAAAATTGGTAAAAAAAATGAATTAAAACTTCTTCATGGAAGAAATATATATGAAAAACAGTTTAAATTCACTGTTATCTTTCTATCTTCCCATTACTTTTCCATCATCACCCTTATCTTAGTCCAAGTTATATCTCCCAGCAGAACTACTATCCTAGCCTCCCAGCTACTTTGACTTGTTTTCTCATCTCATCTCTCTAGTATAGCTGGAGTGCTCTCTTCAAAACAAATCTAATCATGTGTTTCCTTGCTTAGAACTGATTTGGTGGCTTCCTGTTGCTTTTGGTCAAGACGAATCTACACAAAGCCAGTCTCCACTGTTATACCACTACTCTCACCGCCCTCAGGCTGTGTACTTCAGCCACACTGGCTTTCCTCCACTATCTAGCATAGCCTTCTCCAGATCTTTTGCACTTGCTGTTCCTTTTACCCACAGCTCCTTTTCCTCACAGTACATTTTATACTTCTACTTAGTCACTTTCTCAGGGAAATGCTTCTTGACTTTCATTTACTCCTTTTGTAAGCTTTTGTAGCACTATTTACTTCTTTTTAGCATGTGTAAGAATTGCTTAATGTGTGGGGCATGTGAATGTGAGAGAGATTTCTTATGCCCTCAACCTGACTAAATTTTCGCTCACCATCATATCCTCAGTGCCTGTCTGTTAAATGAGTAACTTGAGGCATCATTTTTATGATCCTTAATGACTTAAATTAGGTCTCCTTAACTGAGATTCAGGAATGAATTTCAGGGATCGTATAACTGCCTGAAATTATGTGTAATTTGTTGTATTTAGCCTGTCTCTGGGGGAGGGCGAAATATTTCATAGGTTTTATCACATTTGCAAAAATTTGTAAATCTCTGGTATTATCTTTGGAATATTGGTACTCATATCTGTGATTAATTTGATTGGAATCCTTTTTCCATAATTTTTAATTATAGTCTTTTCTTTTAAAAAGTTATGTGGCCAGCTAATTTACAGTATCTTTAATTTCCCAAAATGTCTTTTGTGAAGATAAAAGCCAGCTTGCAGACACAACTATTATATTATGCTAACTTTCAATGTCTTCAGCTCTAATTCTGTTTTTTTAAATAATTTTCCAGGGCTAAAGGCTGATATTTATAACACACTTCCTGGCTCTAGGTTCTTAAAATACATGTATTCTTCTGAAATAATGTAAAATTCTACCTTTACTTTTTTTAAAAATAAAGTATTACTTTTTACTTTATCTTATGATTATTTATCGCATATTTTATCTTCACAAGCACTCATGTGGACTTTGAAGAGAGAATATTTAATTGATTTATTATAGCAGCTTCCCTAATGTTTAACATAGTACCTTGTGTATAATAAGTACCATATACTTGCTGGGCAGGTAAAAGTATGGCTAACTCAACTTGAATCACCTAATGTTAAGATGAGGGGGAGAAATCTGCTAAATGAAGACTTTTTTCTCCCTTTCCATTAGAACCAGAGAAGGGAAGCACAATTGAAAACAACAGTAAGCATTTAATGAGTAAAGAATTTGGAAAACTAGAGCTGGGTTTCCTTCAGTCATTTGTTTCTTTAGGCAGCAGTGATATATAAAATCAGAATTAGGAGGTGAAACATTCTAATCTGGTACTCTAATTCCACAGTAGGGCCAAAGGCTTCTGTATGAAACTGACATTATTTTATTCTTGATAGCAAATTATTAAGAAGCTCATTAGAAAATGGCTTTCCATGTCCTGCAAGATAGTAAAGGTAGAAACTAAAATGCCAGAGAACAAAATGATTTGCCTTTACTTATTTGTAAAAGATAAGAATGTCAAGAATTGTATTTGTACGTGCTTCTGAAGTTGCAAATCTCCAGTTTCATAATTAAATATGTGATACTTTTTAATAATTCTTTACTGAAGTAGTAAACTAGGGTCCATCCTTCAGAAGAGAACCATTTTCTGTTTGGTTGTTAAACAATTCTGGGAAGTTTTGCTAGGTGGCAGCATATGCTTAAGTTGTAGATAATCACCAAGCACTCTAGAATTTTAAAATTGTTGCTCATCAGAAATAAAAAGTATAATTCAGTAGTAAATTATCATCCAAATGGCCAAATTAGAAGCCCTCTGTATAAACCTGTAATTAATATTGTTAACTATGAAATAGTTCAAACATATGGAAAATGATATAACAAATGTCCTTATAATCTGCTTTCTGTATTTAGCAAGTGTCAATATTTTGCCATATTGTAATGCTTAATTCCACCCAGCTTCTTTTCCACCTTAGAAGTATTACTCATTCAGTGTGTTTTCTCATATGTATTTTTTATAATTTTCATATTCATACCCAGTGTATAGTATTGTGTTGTATATTTTTACACTTTGCATGTGTGGTATCATACTGGATAAATGCAGTATCATATGTATAATTCAAAAAGTTATTTTTTTCACCAAACAGTGTTTTCAGTGTTTATCCATAATACATGCAGATTTCCTGCATTGATTTAAAATGGTACATTGCTTATGCTTTATTTATATGCAATATTTTATCTCTTATGCAACATTTTGTAAAAATGCTGCATTGAATAGTCTTGTGCATAGCCTTTTGCTATAGCTGGAGGTATGTCTTCTGGACAGATTTCTAGAAGTAGAATTTTTGTTAGGTGTTGCCAGAGTTTCCTCCAGAAGGAGTATACCAATTTGCATTCCTACCAGCAATGTATGAGAGTGCCTATTTCCTCACAGTCTCACAAACAGAATGTGTTGTCATATTTTTTTGTATTTGCCAGTCTGACAGGTGGGTAATGAATAAGCAGAAGTTTTAATATATTCTAAGAAACAGAGATACACTCAGATTTTTCTTAGCACTGCAGACTTCTCTAGAGCAACTAGCTCTCAGAATAATTGTTTTCTAATAACCGTGGGTTTTTGTTATAAGTTAACTCATATGTGTAGCGAAGTTAGTACATTACCAAAAGAGGTTGGCTAATTGACTGGCTAGCAGATAGCCAACTACGACTCATTTCAAGGTAACATTTA